GACCCCTCGTTACTTTCTTGGAAGGCCTGTGGGCCCCCACTGTGTATCCTGGCACAAGTTGTTCAGTGGTGCCATCCAAACCTTAAGAACATAAGAACATAAGAGATGCCAATGTTGGATCAGGCCAAAGACCCATCCAGTCCAACACTCTGTGTTACACAGTGGCCAGAAATACCAGTGCCATCAGGAGGTCCACCAGTGAGGCCAGGACCCCCCCAAGCACCAAGATGAGAGAGCATCACTTGCCCCAGAGTCCCTATCTATACCTTGTGGCTAATAGCCACTGATGAACCTCTGCTTCATATGCCTATCTAATTCCCTCTTGAAGCCGTCCATGCTTGTAGCCGCCACCACTTCCTGTGGCAGTGAATTCCAAGTGTCTGTCTTACCTTATCGTTTCCATTTCAGCCACTCCCAGGGTCGGGTCGCAGCTACACTAGGGGATGGATCTGTAGCCATTTTCCATCGGAACCCAGGTACGTCCTGTTCCTCTGATTCTTCCCCCTCTAGCCTTCCATGTTGCAGGTCCTCCATCTAATCCTGTTTTCTCTCAGTTCGAAAGTGGGACCTGCGTTCTCCACGCCTGGTTGATTTGGGAAGGCCGCGACGCTCCATTCGTTGCGCCATCCCTGTGCTGGACCGGCTGTGGTGCGGATATGGGAATCGAATCTACGTGCTGGATCCACGCACTGCTCGCATCCAGGTGATCTCTGGGGCTTGTGGGAGATGGGGAACTTGTGGAGCCAAAGTGGAAGATTTAAATTCTATATATGACCATTTGAGATAGCTGGATCTTGTATGATCCACTCAACAGCTTGATATTAGAACAAGATAGTTAAATGTTATCGATGCGACGAACGTGAAATTAAGTAAACTCCGGAGGATGACAGAAGACAGGAGGGCCTGGCATGATGTGGTCTATGGGGTCGCGAAGAGTTGAACTCAACTGTGTGACTGAACAACATCAAAAAGTTAAATGTAGGGGTAGGGACTAAGCAGTAAATGTGTCAGCCATTTATAGTGAAATGGGGAGATCCCAAAGAGTAGTTTAGGTAAAGGTAAAGGTTCCCTTGTTCGAAAGCCAGTCGAGTCCGACTCTAGGGTTGCGGTGCTCATCTCCGTTTCAAAGCCGAAGAGCCAGCGCTGTCTGAAGACTTTTCCGTGGTCATGTGGCCAGCATGACTAAACACCAAGGCGCACGGAACGCTGTTACCTTCCCACCGAAGTGGTACCTATTTATCTACTTGCAATTTCTTGCTTTCGAACTGCTAGGTTGGCAGGAGCTGGAACTAGAGACGGGAGCTCACTCCGTCATGCGGCGCACTCGGGTCTTGAACTGCTGAACTACTGACCTTCCACAGTCTGCAGTTCAGCGTCTTAACCACTTGAGCCACCGCAGCTCCAAAAGAGTAGTTTATCAGCGTGTAAAAAGATCAGTTCTTCAGCCATAGGATCCAAGGTCCAGCAACCAGATCAAACTGATCGTCGTGGTGGTGGGGGAGGAGTTCTGTGAACCAGCTGCCTGTCGTAACCTGCATTGCCCTTCTTCTCCCAGCGGTACTTCGAGGTGACCTCGCATCCGGAAAGCCAAGTGCGGCATATGGTGGCTGCTGGCAACGGCATCTGGGTCTCTGTTCGGCTGGACTCCACTCTGCGCTTGCTCCATGCGGAGACCGGGCAGCCCTTGCAGGAAGTGGAGTTGGGGCCCTACGTCAGCCGCATGCTTGGTGAGCAGCCGCAGCAGAGCTTGGTTCATACCAACCCTCGGGGTGAGGTCAAGGAGTGGACCAGCAGGCAACATCTGATGAAACTCAGGAGTCAAAGGGGCTGCAGGATAAGAATTTAGACATGGTGAGGGACACACACACACATTCAGGCATATTTCTCCTGCCCTATGACTAGCATAGGGAAGAACAAGGATGGTGTACTGGCCAGAGGGAATTGGTCTTGGAATAGGGAGACCTGGTTTCAAAGGCCCCGCTCAGCCATGAATCACTCTTTCTCCACTTTACTGTAGAAAGATCGAAAATGAACTGGGTGTGTGTGTACACTGAGTTCAGCACTGTCTCCTCTGTCTAGCAGTGACTCACCAGAGTCTCTGGCAGAAAATCTTTCCCACTGTCTGTGATCTGAGATCCTTTAACTGAAAGTGCCGGGGATGATTAAATTTGGGACCACCACCACTGAGCAATGGCCCCACTCCTGGTCAATATCCAGGACCGGCTGCCCTTCTCTAAGGGCAAGACACTGAGCTGCTCAGAGCCCAAGGTAACTCTTCGAGGAGATTTTAGTGCTCCCAGTCGTGCTATTGAGGGTGCTGTCTCCTGGGACAGAGATAACTTGAAGGTGTTAACACCTGATGTTGGCTTTGGTTTTGAATGGCCAAGCCTGAAGCTCATTCTTGGCCCTTTCACTCTCCTTCCATTTTAGGGCCCAACAGCCTTAGTCTAGCCCTGAACATCACAGCACTTGGTACTTTTGGGAAACGGCTGTGGGTCGGCACATCTGGAGGCACCATCATCTCTCTGCCCTTCATCTCTGGTAAGCATGTGCGTGTGAGATAAGAGGATGGGTCACCCCCATGGGGCCTTGAGAGGATGACCAGCACAGCACTGTCCAGTGGTGGCCATTTCCACAGACTTTTAATTCTGCTTTCTCTGCAGAAGCTGCGGGAAGCCCGGACTCTCCCCTGCCAGCTCTTATCCCTTACTGTGCCATGGAACAAGCCCAGATCAGCTATCATGGACACCGTGATGCCGTTCGCTTCTTTGTCTCTGTCCCAGGTAGCCAGCAGGGAGAAAGGGATGTATTGTCCATTGAGTCTTGGAAAAGGGCCCCTGTTTACTTGGGTGAACTCAGGGCAGACCCTGATAGTATTTTGGTGTTCAGCTTTCTCTCTCTCGGTCTGTGGGGTTGGATGTGGGGAATTCGATAAGAACATTAAGAGAAGCCAAGGTTGGATCAGGCCAATGGCCCATCCAGTCCAACACTTTGTCACACAGTGGCCAGAAATACCAGGGACCATCAGGAGGTCCACCAGTGGGGCCAGGACACTAGAAGCCCTCCCACTGTTGCCCCCCCCCCAGCACCAAGAATACAGAGCATCACTTGCCCCAGACTGAGAGTTCCTGTCTATACCTTGTGACTAATAGCCACTGATGGACTTCTGCTCCATATGCTTATCCAACTCCCTCTTGAAGCCGTCCATGCCTGTAGCTGCCACCACCTCCTGTGGCAGTGAATTCCATGTGTTAATCACTCTTTGGGGTGGTCTGAAGTTGGTTGAAGCAAGGGATGATGCAAGAGTATGAGGTAGTTTGGAGAAGGAAAGAGCCATCCAGTTGTACAAGCAGTGAGAAACTAGGAGCTGGTTTGGATATATGGGAGAGTGGCCCAGTGTGTGGGGGTGGGGGGTGCTTTGGTTGGGGCCTGGGTGGAGAACCAGGGTTCTGCAGAGCAGGAAATGCTCCCAAGGTGATCACTGGAGCAATGCTCAGCAGGTCTACTCAGAATCCTACTTAGGTCTGTTCAAAGGAGCTTACTTCCGGGAAAGGGCTCTGAGGACTACACTGTAAATCAGGGCTGAAGCGGAGACTTCTGGCCTCTCTGGCCAGATTTTATTTTCTTCCTTCTTGTGCTTCAGTTTCCAGTGGCTTTTAGTTATCCTACATTTAAGGGTGTGTGTCAGCAGGGACATGTTTAGTCTGCACCAAGAAACACTGGATTCTCTGACCCATCTTTGCTTGCTTTCTGATTGTGCAGAAGCGCTTCTGCTAGTCCTGTGTGGGGTGCAAAGAGGTATGCGGGATTTGAGACCCAGCTCCCTTTTCCTCTCTGGTAGTATAATTCACCCCTTTCTCTCTGTTTGAGACTTCACTAGCCATTGTCCCCAATCCAAGTCTGTCTCTGAAGTTCTCAAAGACGGTTAGACAGAGGCCCACTTGGAGACTTTGGGGAGGTGGGGATAAGCCCCCTGTTCCCAACTCTGGGATAATGCTCCACATACAAGAATTGAATGCTGAGACTGTCAGGGTGTGTGGGATTCTGGGCCCAGTATCCAATTATGCGACATGATTGTAGAATCTCAGAATGCCTTCAGCCCTCTTCTATGGATATGTTTCTGTGTAAGCGATCTGTCTGTCCTGTGTTTATTTTAGGATGTCTAGATCTGTCCTCTTTGGAGAATCCCAAGGAGTCCCACAAAGAGAAGCCAAGGAAGCCTTGCACTTTGGTGCTAAGTGGAGGGGAAGGCTACATCAATCTCCGGATAGGTGAGCACGTTCCCTAGACGTCTGGGGGGTGGGTGGGAACGGGATCTGGGATGCCTGCACAAAGAGGACGTCCAACTCGGTTATTTCAGCACCACAGCTCACACCTGATCTTCTCTCCTGTTTCTGCACAATCCCAGGAGATGACACTGATGAACGCTATGGTGACCTGCTGCTCCCCAACCCCCGCTTACGTCGTGCTGAACGAAGTCACCTTATTGTCTGGCAGGTGCAGGCCTGAGGCTGCAGTGATGGGCATGACACTGCTCAGGTGCCACGCCTTGCACTCCCGGTTAGGAGGAAATGGCACAGCTGCTGGATGGTGGTGGTGCCCTCGCTATCCCACCCTCTTTGTTTGGGAATTAAGCCTCTAGGGTCTACAGGGCTGGTGATGGGAAAACACCATCCGGACACCAGGATCTGTTTCCTGAAAATGCCCGGTGAGGGCAGCTCCAGCCGATTGTTCTTCCTACCACCTTCTTGACCATCTGCAGTGCCTTCCAACTGGAGCAAAGCATCATTGTGCAACAAAGTTCCCTGCACGTATACAAGATGGCACCCCGATCAAATCGTGATACTTTTGCTCCCTGCTCCCATGTCGCGTAACTCGTCTTTTACCACTCAGGTGGTTAGGAGCTGGGAGTTAGGAAGCCCACCTCTTCCAGCAGAGCAGAAGGGGTCTAGTTCAAGCTGGGAAAGAAGCAAGCGTGCCTAAATGAGTTACAGCACAGGAGGCTGAGAACCGGGATTCCGGGGGAGAAGCAACAACCAGGGCATTAGAGCAAGAACGTATCTCAAGGAGGAGCAACAACCAGGGCATTAGAGCAAGAACTCTTCCATTCCCTTCTGCTTCCTTCCTTTGACTGTGATTCTAAAGCACTTTAGATTCCATGGGATATAGGGGCAAGACTGGTGGTGAATCTGGAACTACACCAGAGTTGAGAATTGAAATGTGGCATCGACTTGACCTGTAGCATTACTCGGCGTAACCTCAAGGGGGAGTCCTCTTGCCCTGCTGTGCTGCCTTGTTGTTGGGGGGGGGGGAGCAGGGATTGGCTAGTTCCCCGCGCTATGGAGTTAACCAGATCCTCCCCGGAGCTCTGGTGTGATGCTTGGGCAGGTTCCTACCTCACTGTTGGTCTCTCAGGGTTGCTGTTTTGTTTGTCTTGACAAGGGTAGGGCCTCTGGCACCCTCTCAGGATCTGTTCTTATGTGGGATAGCTTCTCAATAAAGCTATTAATTTCTTTTCATTCCTTTTGTCTTGCCTTTTGTTCTCACACAAACTGGATCTGGGTGCTTTCTAAGGGTAGTGGATAAACTGCCCATAAAGGGAGATGATGATGCAGACTTTCAAAACCAGGCTGTATAGGCAAAGACAGGTCAGAAATGGGTAATGCATTGCTGGCTTTTGCTTTAGGCTGTGGGGAAGAAATAACCCGCTTTTTCAAACAGGTCCCGGTCCCGGAAGGATGAAGCACATGCAGTGCGATTGTTGTCCCAGGAGACTTTAATTGCCTCTAGTTATAAAATGGTGGCATTTAAAAGTACTGAATGTTGAGGTCACCGTGACAGCGCCTGAATGCCTTTTAGCACTCACTCAGCCGCTACAGAAATAGTATTTTTACACTTTGTTGTAGTCTGAATGCTGACTGGAGAAAACTGCCAGTTGGCTCACATGGCTTCTCCTGACTGAAGAATCCTGTAGTCTCATAGCCAACCTACACATTTGGGTTTTTAATAAGTTGGGTCCGGTTTTCCCACAGCTACACAGCAGCTGCAGGGAATGGCTATTGAAATATATAAAGGAGAGCCCAGTTGGGCACAAAACTCTGCTACGGGAAGGGCTCCTACCTTCCCTACAGGACATTTTCCTGTGATGAAACAGCATGGGGGGGGTATTTTCCCAGTTTGCGGCACAGAATACTCTGCATGGAGCACCAAAAACATGGAAATAACTCCCACACCCCAGCACTGTTGCTGCTTAGGAAAACAGCTTGAGGGGGAAGGCAGGAGCCTCCCTCCCGCAGCAGCTTTGCTTTATTTTTTTTTAATAGCCATTCCCTGCAACTGCTGAGAAACTGGACTGCAAAAAGGAAAATGTCCAGTTTGGCCCTCAATCCCTTCTCTTCCCAATGGAATCAAGAAAGAAGATGCAACAACTCAAGGATATTACTGAATTCGGGGGCTATTTTGGTTCAGTCTGAAAGCTGGGTTTTCTCTTACTATTTATTAGCATTCCTGTTTTATTCTGTCATCAAGAAGGGATTTTCAAAATGCAGATTTACACACAGTAAAAGTTCGATAGCTATTAAAAACTACTTCCACTGACAGAAGGTCTTCTGCTTCAACAGCTTCTTCCACCTGGCAGGAGAACTGGCTTGCTTGCTTACTCTGCCTACCCTGCTGCTTTACATGCAGGCTCCTGTGAACAGGGCAGTGCTAGGAGAGAAACGGGTTAGAAAGAGGGTTTGGTTTGAACCCACTGTAGCCTAGCCTCAGGACCTTTTCTGAATGCCAGCAGCAAGCCCTGGAATATACACAACCATCCTAAAAAGGTATGCATGGAGTGCAGTCATCGTATCTGGGACCGGTGATAGGTCTAGGTCATGAGATCTAGTTTCTAGACAGACGTGAGTACTGCTATATATAGGGATGCCAGCTTCCAGGTAAGACCTGGGGATGCTCTGGAATTACAGCTCATTTCCAGATGAAGGAGAGAGAGAAAAGATTGGATTTATACCCCCGCCCTTCACTACCTGAAAGCAGTTTACAATCTCTGTGGGAATGAAAAACTCCTGTGAGGCAAGCTCGGGAGTTCAAGTTCTCACAGGGAGATTGGCAAGCAGTGCACAAAGTCTGCTGAGTCTGGTGGTCTGCTGAGAGCATAAACTTGGCTACATTCAGGCAAGATAGGAGAGCTTCAGCATAAAGAACATTCTGTTAAGAACATACTGTGATCCTAGTTAGAGGCTTCTATTTGTAACGTTTTCACTGTACAGGGCAGGGGGGGGAGAAATGTGTGAGTCTGCTTTAATAAAACGCTGCTGACATCCAGTTAAAGAGACAGAGGTACAGAGAGAGCTTGAGAACTTCGTCAGAGAGCTTCAACAGATCTCTGTGTGTTGTGTCGTTATTGAACCCTCAAACCTACAAATCTCCTTTCCCTTCCCCTCCCCACAACAGACACCTTGTGAGGTAGGGGGGGCTGAGAGAGCTCTCTCAAGAACTGCCCTTGAGAGAGCAGCTCTGAGAGAACTTGTGACTGACCCAAGGTCACACCAGCAGCTGCATGTGAAGGAGTGGGGAATCAAACCTGGTTCTCCCAGATTAGAGTCCGTGCTCCTAACCACTACACCAAACTGGATCATTTTCTCCTGGAGAAAAAAGACACTTTGAAGGGTGCACTCTATGGCATTGTACTCCACTGAGGTTCCTGTCCTCTCCAGACTCCATCCCCAAATTTCCAGGAGTTTCCCAGCCTGGATGTGGCAACCCTACCCCCCATCCCCTGCTGGTGGCCGGGGGGAACTGGCAACCCTACCTCACAGAAATCAACTGCTGGTAGAGTTGCCAACCTCCAGGTGGGCCTTGGAACTCTCCCAGAATTACAACTGATCTCCAAACTACAAAGATCAGTTCCTCTGGAGAAAACAGCAGATTCAGAGGGCAGAATCTATGGAATGCCACAGATTCAAGGTGAAACACACACACACCCTCCACAGGTTGACCCCAAATCTCCAGGAATTTCCCAGGCTGAAATGGGCAGCCCTAACTGCTGGCCATGTGAGGCTGAAAACCATCCAAATTTCAGCTCCTGACCTGAGGCATGATCCTGCACATCAACAGAATGGGACGTCCAATAAACAATGTAGCAGGATTTGGGTGGTGGAATTCTACAGCCAACCAAAACTCTGAAACAGAGCTGAAACCAAGTGCTACGTATTAACAGTGACATGTTAAATGATGCTTAAAATTACTTACTAGGATCCTAATTACAGCAATAGACCGTATGAACAATACAGAGTAGCATAGTCCACTGTCCCTAACTCTTTACTGAACCAACTTTCAAACTATTTTGTTACAGTGGAGTCCTATTACCTGAATAAAAAGCCCTCTTGAACAATTCAGTCTGCCAGGGTTTGCAGAAAGCCCAGAGGGTGGGAGCCTTCCTGACCTCATCAGACAGGCCGTTCCATAAGGTGGGGTCCGCCACAGAAAATGCACATGTAGCAATTCAGCTCCTGGGCCTCTGCTGATGTCACAATGGACAAGCCTGCAGGCCAAGATTCCACTGGGGCAAGGATACCTTTCAGTCAGTGCAAAGAAGAGACGCCTCCATGGGTGGAGTCAGGGAGTCTGTGGGGACATGGGGGGCCTAGCCCCACCCGGAATAATGAAATCAGCACTTTGTGGCCCAAGGAACACCCCTGTTGCTGCGCCACAATAATCTGCAAGGCCCTATAATTTGCCTCTGAGCTCCACTTCCTTGCAGCCATGATCACGTACCCTCCAGGTAGGAGCCAAGACTCCATGCTTCTCGAAGGGGGAGGCTGAAGGACCCAATACACTAGAGAGCAGGAGAACCTGAGAGGATGCTGGACATTGTCATGAAATTCTGTCCTAATGGAAAAAACCCTGGGCTGATGCGTCTTTTTTGTGCTCAGGAGCTGATGATAACCATGTCTGGGGGCAGAAAGGAATTTTTCCATAGATCAGGTTGGCTAGTATGCCTGGGAAGAGGAAACGAGTGGGCCTCTTGCACGGCACTCTTTGCTCCATTTTGCTTGCTTGAGTTATCGAGAGTCAGTGTCTGACGCACACTTTCTGTGGTCTCTGGACTCATATATAAACCATTAGATTGGGGAGGGCTGGTGAGGGGTGCTCTAGAGATTGCAGCAGACAGCCTGTTAATGCTTCCCAGCTCTGTAATGTTATGGGACTAAGGGAGAGGATCCTAGTGGCATTAACCACTGGTGTTCTGATCTAAAATGCCTGAATCCTATGCTAAAAATGGGTGGTCCCGTAGATGCAGCCAAAGGCCTCGGAAGCCTTTCCCCACTTTCCCATAAGCATCTTCTTTATTTTCTGTCTCTTAGGGAACATACGGAGGGGCCAGCACATCTTTCCCGAGTGTGTCAGTGAACATGCCTTTGGCGGCTGGCTCCCAACGAAAGGCGAACTGCATAGGCTGCTGCAGAAGGGCGAATACAATCTGATAGGAGATGCACCCATCTTTGAAGGCACTTTTGTGCAGGTGACTAAGCACTGAGGGGAGGGGCTGTGGCTTAGCAGCAGAGCATCTGCTTGGCATGCAGAAGGTCCCAGGTTCAATCCCCGGCATCTCCTGTTAAAAGAATCAGGCAGGCAGTGATGTGATAGACCTCTGCCTGAGACCCTGGAGAGCCATTGCCCGTCTGAGTAGACAATACTGACCTTGATGGAGTTTCCCAGCCTGGATCTGGATTCAGGGTAAGGCAGCTTTGTGTGCACTGCCCTCTGCTGTCACTGTGGCAAGGAGAGGCTGCCAGACCTTTCCTTGTTGTCGCACTTCCCACACAGATGGGCAAGGATGTGCACGGAACAAGCCAGCAAAGAAGCAGACAAATGGCTTCAATCCTGTTACCCGCTGCAACCCTGCACGATACAGCTACTAGTGACGTTTGCTGCCAGCGTCCCTGGCTAGGTTGCCATGTTTCCTCAGGATACCCCATCTCTGTGTGTGTGTTGCATGTAAAGCAACGAAGAGGCCAAGACCATTATTCTGGCAGCCTACCGCAG